TTAAAACAATTGGCGAATTTTTGTAATTATTAATCAAAATTCAAAATTTAAATTCTTATAAAAAAAAATTGTGACTGAATTTCTTTTATTTTTCAACTGCTATTGTAACGACATATTAAGAGCCTTGTATTAAATCTTCAATATTTTCTACCCAAAAAATAAATTTTTATCGATATTAATTTAAAAAAAAACTAATAATGATCGAAATTGCATAATATACCTATGAATAGTACAACATAAGTCAACAATTTTTGAAAATTATAGATAGAATATACTTATAAAAAAATTCGGTGAAAATTTCATGTATCAAGGTCATTTGTTTTAAAGTTACATCAATAATCAAAATCAATTTTGTCGAAAACTGATTGTGCGTAAAATTTCCCGGTTTCCCTTAATTTTTAGTTTGTTTATCCCGATTATTTTTTACTTTTGACCACCAAAGTACCAACTAGATTCACTTTCTGATCRAATAAGGTACTGAAGTCAAAAATCGAAGCACTTTTACTGCCCCAAAACGAGATGATAGGCACAAAAAAATATATATTCATGGTTTTGACGAATTTTTGTCAATATTTGAACTTCAAATGCTAATAAAAAAAATTGTGCCTATGTATTCTTATAATTATTTAATCACTATAAGACTTATTTATGAGAAACTCTGTATTAAATTTTTTAAGTATTTTGATTGGGCAAAAAAATTTTATCGATACTTCAAAAAAAAATTTTCAGAAAAATTGAAAATTTCAGTTGTCTATAAATATCTAAAAAAAAAATCAAAATATTTTGAAAATTAAATCATGTAAAGAAAATGCCAATCTTAATAACTGGTAATATTTTCAAGCATCTACGACTTATACTTTTTGAATAATAACAAATATTTAAAATYGTTTSAGGATAAATCGTTATCGTTACGTTATYTCGTGAAAATTTAAAATTCAAACGCACTTAAAATTTTTCCTATAATGATGCTTCGAGTGTTCTCTATAGCTACTTGAAGAAAAACTTATGGAAAACTTAGTGTTATATTTTTAATCCCTATTTATAAATACAACAAATTTTATGATTTTTCAACTTCAAAATTACTTGCTAATTTTCGCGTTTTCGACAGATTTCATAAAAATTTGAACTATAACGCTTATAAAAAAAAATTGTGCATATGTATTCTTATAATTTTTTTTTCACTATAAGACTAACTTATGAGAAACTCTGTATTAAATTTTTTAAGTATTTTGATTGGGAAAAAAATTTTATCGATACTTCAAAAAAAAATTTTCATAAAAATCGAAAATTTCAGTGGTCTATAAATAACTCAAAAAAATATCAAAATTTTTGAAAATTAAACTGTATATAGATAACACTAACATAAAAATTTGGTGAAAATTTCAAGTATTTACAGTGATTATTTTTTGAATTACAACCATATAAAAAAATCGATTTGGTCGAAAACTGATTTTGCGTAAAAATTCCTGTTTTTCTGTCATTTTTTTTTGTTTTTCTCGATTTTTTTGAAAACTGTTGGAAAATGTTAACTTTTAACCTGTATAATGCACCAAGGATATTCACTTTTACACCGGAAACCACCCCCATTGTTTGAAATTGATGCATTATTTCGACTAGTTATGCTGTACACACACACACATCATTGTAAAATCAATACATTCATCACTTCGTTCAGAATCTAAAAAACACAACAAATATGCTCAACAATTTTTTTTTAATTTTGATGCTTAAATTATAGCTACAATTTATATGAACAAATAATTATAAACAAAATTCAGTTGTACATAACAGTTTTTCAGAAGTTCACTTACACTACCTGCTACACCTAATGTATACTGCAGACACTGTGTGACGATCGCTGATCATTATTGTTAACCAATTGTCGATGAAATATATAATTTTTTTTTTTTAAAAGACATTCCTAGCCAACAGTAGGCCATCTAAATCTAGAGATAATGTTTACAAATTTAGTTTTTGACTTTTATAACATGATAACGATAAGAAAAAAAAAACACAGATAGTATGATTAGCTAACAGTTAATGTACGTAGTTTCTTGAGCGTTAGTTTATGCAAGTAGTCCTATGTTGAATTGATAACGCATTGATCCCGTTGACTTTTGAATAGACCTGAAGAAACTGTCAGCCAGAATTTTAAATAATATAATAATATGCTTTGATTAGCGTAGTACTATTTTATTTTTAAACATTCCAATTTCCAAATATGTATGATATATTATATTATGTTCTTATTTTTCGAAAGACCAACATTTTATACTTAAATATAGCCAAATAATATGTTCTTATTTTTTCATATCATGTTCAAGTACAATTTATAATATGCAATAACGATAAAATATGCAAAATTAAATATTTAGCAGTGTTACCTATAATTATGTTATAAAACATATTTACGCATCACTCACATTATTCTGCAATCATTCCAAACAAATATGAAAAAAAATTAAGTCCTCAGCCCTAATTATAACTAGAGTCTACAACCGCTCCTTTATAGGTTAGGTATTTATAATTGATTTTTTTTTTTTTTATTTGTTACAAATTTTAAACACACATTTAAATAATTTTCGTTAATTATTTAAATGAAAAAAAAATAAACTTTGAGATTTATATTTATATATTATAGTTTTGTTAAATATATAGAGGTATTTTTTTTTTTTATTCAATGGATAGTATATGATATAGTTGGAGACTGAGTCTCCAAATTAAGGCTCAATTTCAATGAAAAATTTGGAGTTGTTCCATATTTTTTCAACTAGTCAAATAACCGTGTATTGCACAAAGACTAACTTTGCTCCCCCTCCCCCAGGGACAGCGCGAGGGGGGAATTGGGGCAGTTGTCCCGGGCCCCGCGTTTTTAAAATTATAATTAAGGCCCCGCAGTTCTTAAATGATATTTTATACTGTTCAGAGATTAGTTAGTTTGGATAATATGTAATGTGACTTTTATTTATTTTGTCCGGAACCCCACAAATCCTAGCTCCGACCCTGCGGCCTCCCCTCACACATACACACACATGCAAACTTATTCAATATAATATTAAAATCATGTAATTATTATATTGAATAATGGCAAATCGCACAACAGCCGATATAGATTTAATTATATACATAATTTAAGGGAGACTGAACTCAAATATAGTTCTAAAAACACCCTAGTAACTCTTTGCCTGCCTCCCCCTTATAATAGCGACTACGCGAAACGGGCAGAGCTTCGACGATCAACTACCTGTATAAACTAGTATTCACTATTACGTATAAAATAACGAGTAAACATAATAGCGGCAAATTCCTCCACGAAGTGTACATAATAATAATATGTATACCGTGTTTAAATTACATATGTGTGAGATGTATAAGTATTAAGTATAATATGTTGTTGTATCATCGGGCGTTGTACGACGCGCGAAAGAAAAAGGTCCGAGGCGGATTCAAGGGACCGAAACTAATAATTGACCACGTTATACTACGAGTACATGGAGGTACGTGCGTACATCACAGGGTGGTTTATTTTAACCAGCAACGAGCTCTTCTTCTCAGATGATTTTTTTCACCTCTTAAAAACAAAAAAAAAAACGTTTTACGTGATTCGTAATATACATCCTGTCCCCCACAGTAACATTATTATTATATAAATTTAATATCATAATGGTTTATGTCCTATCTGCTCGCATCGATTTCATGTATGTATATATCAGAATCTGCTGGGTCACTGTTGTAAACCCTTTAATATTCCGGCAATGGAGATGAAAAATTAGTATCATCTTTCATAATATTCTCATCCGATGAGGCACTACATCAGGGCACTTGGATTTGCTTGAAAATGATTTTATTCGAAATTGTCACTGCTCATAAGCCAAAAAAGTCACCCTATACGTTATAAGAAAACGTCAATCACGGACATTTGCAAACATCGTCTGCGGCGATCCTTTCGAACGAAATTTCTATATTTTATTTATTTTTTTAACGCGTCCGTGCATGTGAAAACGACGTAGAGATAAATAGAGAGAGAAATATGAGATACAAACACAGAATCTACATAGCAATCTTCTAGCACTGGCCTGCTAGAAACATTCGTATGAAATCTTCTGCCGCCACTCGGGGAGACTATTTTTTCACGCAAGACTCGTTTTCTTGTCTTCAGTCAATTCTTGATTTTGATTTTTTCCAAATCGAATTATAATAATACGATAAAGGTATATTTTCCCTTTCTTGTAACACGTTATATACTTATACTGTTATAAGCACTGTGCGTTTCTTGTGCGATGTGTTTTGTCGTGTTAAATTTTATATTTCTTTAAATACCTATAAGCGTAATATTTTTTTTTTTTATAATATTATCATCATTGAAAATATAACATCTTTCTCGACATTTCCTTTTATACACAAAATAATACATCCAATATCGAACCAATATCGAACCAATTTTTTATTACATGTATCTTATTTATTTCTTCATCAGGAGTTGCAGTGACAGCCACCATAATAGTGTATAATCTCCGAGTCATTGACGTGCAACTCCTCTCCACCAATCTTAAAATACTTTTATGTCGTTCGATATTCTATTTTATAAAATATTTTTTTCGGTGAATTCAAACTCAAAAGTAACATTGAACGTCATTTCATGAAGTTTTGTGGAAAAAATCTGATTTTTTACACACTTATATATATTATATGCTAACTATGCAACTTTCAAATTTGAGTGTATATTGCTAAAAATTGAATCTATTTTCTTTTCTCCGTTTCGTATTTAAATAAATTGCTTTCTGCCAAGTAAACACGATCACGGTTTGCGTTCAATAATAGAGGGATGGTGAATATTTCAAAATAGGTATGACTACGTAATTTTTTTCTGATATTTTAGGTGTAAATAGTAACTACAACCAACAATTTTTTTTCAATATTCATTTAGAAGATGACCAACTATAAAATAGCGTGTTACGGATCGAAAAAATATTATCAGCAGTGCGGCGGGGATAAAGTACCCATTTCGGAGGTATCAGTGTATGAAATTGGCCCATTTCGGTGTATATAGCTAAATGGTATATACATATATATATATAGTGGGAAAAACATTTATATTTATTCATCGTGGTTTTTTATTCCACCCACCAAAATTGGACAAGGGGTTCGTTTTTATGGCTAGCCCGTCATAAATAGATACGGTTTTTACTCCTGACTATGCGACGGAATATCCGAGATTAAAAAACATAAATATCATCCCTTCGATCTACACATATATAATATATTAGGAATATAATATTATGTGTTTGTATGTATTTATATGGGTTTGCCCGTTCGGCGTCGTAGGTGTGCCATAATAATAATATATTATATATTTTAAATACTGAATAATATTATTATAAGCTCTGGAAAAAGTGCGAAGGTATGGGAAATGATTTTTCGCGAGGATCGGTACATATATCGTCGTAGCTATCGCTCAAACTGGTCTGCAGATCGTTTACGCAACGATATTTGACGACGTCAAATGTTTATGTCATAGAGCGCACTTCTGTACACTATACCTAAGCATTATTTACTCCGCTTTTTTTTTTTTTAATGATAATAATTAGTACCTAATCTCTTTTTACACATCTTGCCATCACGTCTATTCCAGTCACACGCGTATCACACCGGCGTCTCGCGAGCCTCATTATTATTACACTATCTTAATGGATTCACTTTTATTTTAAGCCGGCTGACAGCATAGATAAAGTTATATATATATATATATATATATATATATATACTCTTCATCACTTAAGTATGTATAGGCCTCGTTGGCCTATCTGAACATTTCCATCTTAGTCATGAGCTTTTTTTTTCAAATCTTTCTTTGCCCCACCACCCGTAAGACACGTAACACCACGAGTCATCTTTCATACTTACATATATATATATAAGCGTCACTTTTATCGCACGCTATATAACAAAACTTTCTTTTATCTCAAGTGGGATTTTTTCGAGTCCATCTTGAGGTATATTTTTTTCTTCGTTTGTACCCAATTTGACCACTCGAAAATTGTTTCMTGCACCGGTACGTTTTGAAGTCCATTATGACGCATGGTTGTACTGCCTCCATAATATAATATTATCGTTTGAGTAAATATTTAACAATCTTCGACAGATAGTAATCATGATATCGAATATAACAAAACGTCTTATCCTCCACCTATATATTATGCATTTAAATTGCAAATTCATTCCGCACTTAAGCACTAAGCAGTATACCTCTAATACATGTTTTATTATGCAGTTTTTGCACGCCCCATAAAACTTTAAATTTTTGTGCTAAGAAAATGTTGCTAAAAATGTATGGAGTACACAACAGTTTTCTGGACATATAGATCTGGATATAAGCTTGTTTTGCTTGTTTCATAGATTTAGCTTCATAATATAATTATTACTTTGTCGCATCTACTCTTGTCGATGAATGCAAAATTTTATTTTTTTAAATATTTTATTTTATTTTTAAAACAGACGAATGAATTTTATTGATTGATGAAATATTATTATTTTATCCCTATTATCACAATTCCTTTCATTTATTAAATGTACGTTTTAAATTATGTACCTATGTATACAGCAAAAACTGTTATTGTTTTTTTTTTTTTTTTATGACCAGCTAATGTGAAATATATTATGCATTTCACCCTAATGGTTATCGTTTGTTGTAGTGTCGTGTACATAATGTATACTATACCACATTTGTTTATATGTTATTATACATAGATTGGTGAAGTTGTTCTTGGAACCCAACGAACGTTTGATCAGCGAAGATTTTGTGTGGCAAATACGAGGTGATTCGGAGTCGGTGACGTATGAAAAAAAGTCACCGAGACGATGTCATTACATGCACCGGATAAGTCATACCGGGGACGGTGACGTGACCGCAGCATTTACTTACTGTCCGGGAAGCTCCAAAGTAAGTGCATTATTGTACGAACACTGTTCTCAACCAAAGCTTTGAATTAATAAAGAGATCAATAGGCTTTTATAATCAAAGTTTACTATGCGGTTAATTTATATCAATTTTAATTTTATGTGTGGTAATTAAATTTATTATCAATATTTGTATAAAAAATAATATAATAAATTACACAAATGTATAGATGACTTATATGTTATATGATTCAATAATTCATTATTATAAAACGATTATGTTAGTGATTTTATTTAAACTATTAAATTATTGTACCCTATATGCTGGAGAGAGAACATTATTAAAAGATATTTTCTTTTTTCCACAATAAACCCGTGACTCCATATAGTGTTAATATATCCATAACCTAACCATATATATTATAAATGAACCAGATTGACTGAAAATGTTGATAATCAAATACAATAATTACCATTAAAATATATTAATGAATTGTACTCGTTCAATATAATCCACAGAACGGTATTGTGTTTCTATCAGATATCACATACGAATTGCAGTCTGTTAATGCCGGGCTTTGTCGGTATCGGTGTGACGATGATAGTGAAAATGCATTTATTTTGAAACGAGCTCCGACAGTAAATCACACGTGGACCGATGGATTCAGTAAGTACACCGTTCATCTGTGTAATAATTTATAAAACGGTAGTAAACGAATTTTATATTATATACAATATTAAAACTATAATACTTTATAGTTATAGATGTTTTGTCATATAGGTTAGGTACCAATTATATACACAATATACGTAGGTGGTAGGTATGAATCTAAACACCTATCTCAATAATAACCAACAATTACCTACTTTTTAAGCCTTATCCATTGATAGTTAAATTTTAAAAAAAAGTGTATGTATATAACTATAATGTATTATGTATGTTGCCTAGCTGTTATAAAGTTATTATTGTAATGTTGTAATATCATCGTATGATTTAACAATTGAAAAAAAAATGTATCAGATATTTTTATCTTGACACCACTATAATGCTTTTAACAAGAAATATGCTATCTCTGGGGCTCTTCTAGCAGTAGGTATATACCGTATGCGATTTTCATGGGTATATCCTATATAATTTATGTATTATTTATAGTTTTAGTGTACCCAAGGCTGGGCATTAACGCGTTAATAAGTTAAAGTTAAGTTAAAAAGTTAAGTTAATTTAACTTTTTAACTTAATAAGTTATTTTTTTTTTATGTTTACTAACTTAATTAATAACTTTAGGAGCTTTTGAATTAACTTTGAATTAACTTGAGTTAATTTTACATTTAAACAAGTTAAGTTAATTTAATTTAATTTTGTGAACTATTGTAGGAATACAAATTGCTGGTAGGTACACATTTTATAAGGTTATAAGTACATGCTAACAAAATKTGTACTGTTAGCTTTTGCACTCATAAAATAGTAATAGTTCTTTGGTCTAATAACATGAAAAATTTTAGGTACCGATTATTTTAATTTTATCTATAAGCAAACAAGAAACTTTTTTTAACTTAACTTGAGTTAAAAAGTTAATATTAAATTTTGGTTAACTCTTAACTTAATTCAATTGATGGAACATTTTGAATTAACTTTTAACAATTAACTTGATTTAGATTTTAATTTAACTTAACTTAACTGAGTTAAAAAAAATCATTAACTTGCCCAGCCTTGAGTGTACCTCAGTTCATGGGCAACATTTCGGAGTCAGTGTAGCTTGCTTTGTGAACTAATTTGACCGAGATCGTCCATCCTATTGTGATAGATTGGATGTAGAATTTGGTATATTTTTAAACGTAAGGTTCAAACTTTACCAACTCTTTAAACTTTCCTGATAATATGTTTCCCAAGAACCTATAACCCAATTAGCTGGTAACTGTTCATTTTCTTTTTCAACATCGGCTTCTTCAGTATTGTCACTTTGGTTTAATAAATCTTGTGTTAAAGATATTTCACCATCTAAGAGGCATTGTCCTCTTTCCTTAAGTTTAAAAGATATTATAGAAACAATAAATATAATAAAAATTACAATTTATTTACCAAATTGTCCATTTCAGCATTATTCAAATCTATAAACTCTGTAATTTCAGCAATATGTTGAGTAATAATTTGTTCTTCATTGAGATCATCTTCATCATCATTAAAATCTTCTATATCAGACATATCTCCTCTAAGGAGGTTTTCTATTTCAGCATCATTTAGAGCCATAGTATAAATGTACTGAAAAAAATGAAAGTAATATTTGCACAATAAAATATATACTCGTATAGAACCAATGATGCCAATTTGAATCATCAAATAACATTCTCGTAACAGCCAAAATAACAATAACACAATTAAACTAAAGACATTTTTAGAATAATCTGTGTATTTTACGTAAGAAAAAGTAATTGCAAGCATAATAAAATATAAATTACTTACCGAAAATTGAGGAAATAAATTTAAAAGTAGTTCCCGTCGTAACGGTTGAAAAAATTTGACAACAACAGATAATAACATTATCAATAAACACGTTATCGTTAAAACAGTGATACAATAGATAGAACACAAAATTTCTTATAAGAATTGATTCCATATGGAATCATTGGGCTCATCATAAAAATAAGAAAAAATACTAAATATTATGATTATATGGAATCACTGGGTCTGAAAGGGTTAAGAACAATTTGAAATGTTCGTAAAAATCAGTTATCGGAGTTGTATATTAGCTACAAACATATAATTTATTTTATACATGATATAATAGTATAGATTCTATAAAATAATATTATTTCTGTAACAAATAATATATCATATAAGAAAATAAATATTAAGTTTTCGTGAGCCAAAACTAAATGTCTGTAGGAGCCACTAGAGTCTCAATGAGTATTTGAACAAAATTCGTTATGAACTGGTCCAGTAGTATCCAAGCCTATAAGCTCAAAATATTTTGATTATGATATTTATAATTAAATTAAAAATTTTAAGTATGCAAAAATGCTGAGGTGTTTATTCGTGATATTTACGATAAGGACAGTTAACATAATTATTATAACATATAAAATGTATAAGCTTTCCTTTCCTAATTTGTGGACTCAAGTCTCACTTAAAATTATTTTACCTAGTTTTAGGACATTACGTGAAAATTCCTATTTTTCGAACATACATATTACATTTTTTTTAAATTTATCCTAAAGTTATGTTTATGGTTCGTTTAAAAAACTATAACCATCATACGTCAGTAGTAAGTGATTTTATTTAGTTAGTGGACGTCAAAACATAACGTAATAATTAATAATCGATTAGGTTTAGTTGTGATGATGTTAAGTACAAAATTATAAACCATATCTAATAAAGTAATAAAGTAATAAAGTAACAATCTATTATAGCATGGAGAGTGGTGATAAATGGATATCGTGATAATATCGTACAACTGTAGCAAAGTGGTGCGCGGATTCGAGACTGACACAAACGAAACTGTGCATACTACATATAATATGTTTAGCAACTTTCCGTGCGAATATAAATACGTATCAAATCGATGATAAGTTTTCGACGTATCTATATATTATAAGTATAAGTACGTAGTGAAAAACTTTTTCATATTTATATAGCACATATAACATACGAGGATTGAGTTAAAAATAAAATTTTTAGAAATGTATTTCACACGTAGTTATTATGAAATGTCTCTAAACGTACGCTAAACGTGATACAAAATGTAATTTAAACGTCATAGAAATAGTTATTGTTATTGTTGTTTCTATATTTTTTCTGGAATTTGAGTCCAAGATATATTACTACGTTGGTTTGAATAATTTATAATTGTATATCGTTATATTTTATACATACATCGAGATCAAAAATTATTTTGTAATTAAAATATATAGTATTTTATTTTTTATTTCCGGAAGTCCCTACATGTTGTATGTATGTAACTATAGTATTATACTCGTTTCTCTTCAACAAGTATTTTAATTAAATTTAAAGCATGTGATCATTATAATATGTTGTTCTGGTATACACGCACGAAAATTATACAAGTTCCAAGAACAGTTTTCTTCGAATCTTGCATACGCTATTGTAACCGACTCGAATTTCAAATTCAGATTTGAAACGTGCAAAAAATTATAAATAGGTAGCGAATATATTATTATACCAACCGTGTGACTGTCGATTGTAACAATTTTAATAACTTAACTTGGTGGAACACTTCAACTTTTTTCAACCTGAACATGACGAAGCGCATAATTGCGAACAAAAAGAAAAGTAATAAATTCATAATTTCATTTGCTAATATTTTTACTATTTCTTTTTTTATTAAATAGATATTTAGATCTAGAGTTAACCAATGACATTAACAGCAGATGAGGTTGACCGCTTTTTGGGAGTTTCTCACAAAATGATCTTATATTTTTTTTAACGATACATTTCAACAATTATAAAAAAAATATTTTAATATACATACGATTTTAAAGTAATAGAAAAAGAATCGCTTCTTTTATTTATTTGTAAATAATCAATGTATCAATTGTAGTATTGCAACACTGTTTGGGGGTATACGAAACAAAAATATATTAAATCCTAGGGGCCAAAATCTTGTTAGACTATAGTGCATCGTTTCTCAACCTTTTTAGTGTCGCGAACATCTATCTATATTACTTAGGTAAAAATTTTAACAAAAAATATTCTATTATTATCAATATCAATTTTAAATCAACATTTTATTATTTTCGACCTACGCGACCCCAAGTCAAGGTGTTCCCGACCCCCTAGTTGAGAAACGCTGGACTAGTGTCATCAAAACTCTAAATTCTGCTCTAGACATTTTTTATTTTTATACCTATATAGTCGTACACTTCGGGAGATTTTCCCATTTGATCATAAACATGATTGTAAAATGTTTTATCATAATATTTCGTTAGGTATATTTTATCATTGAATAATTATTATCGTTTGCTAGATATAGAACATGTTTTTATAGTATGGTTAAATTTGATAAAAATTCTAGTATTATATAATTACTATTTTTTTAAATTGTTTTCTATTAATTATTATTAGGAATTCAACGTGATGATTAAAAGCCTATTTTTAGATGAAATATACATGTTAATAAGGTTATAGATAAACATATTTTAATATAATACATTCGTATGTAAAATGTACAATTCATTATGATCTGTATTATATTTTATTACAATTTAATGTATAAATAAAAGAATGTAAGTGTTTTCGATAAATTCATATCATATATTAGGGATGAAATGTTGTGAATTTTAAATTGTTCAATTAGTACGCGACCGCGTGTTACAACCAATAATTGTGTAATTAACTAAAATGTAGCTGAAAAAGTTAACGTTCCGAATCCATGATCTAATAGTGTCCATGTTTGGTCAGCGTCTAAATAGTTACGATATAAGTTTCATATGTTTCTTTACGTTTCTGATGTATCTACTATTATATCTACACTTATATATATATATATTGTATAATATTATTTATTATGGCTGATGCTTATACGTTATATACCTACAACAGCCGGGCGTGATAGAACTGCTGAAGACACGTCGCGTTCATGAAAACGAAAAATAAATAAATAAGAGAAAAGGAAAAAACTTTAAGTTCTGTAATTCGCGTTATTCTTTCGGCGCCAACGACGTTTAGGACTTTAATACAATATATTCCTCTTGACAGTTTGTATATATTTTTTTTTCTCTCCTCCACAGATGTATTGCGAAGACCCGGCGAAAACTATGCTTTCATGTCACCAGACCTTTTTGTGAGTATAAAAATTAGTGAGGCTTTTTGTTGTCGTTTTCGTCGCGTTTTCTCCTTCTCCCTCCCCTTGTTCGCGTTTTACTCTATCCAAGATTTTAATTAAATATTTTGCCACGCAGGTAGAGGACACAAAATACGATGAGGATGGAATGGAGGCGGTGACAATGGCAACAACGATGCCCATATTGGAGACGGCGCTCTATTTTGACGAAGCTGCGTACAAAACATTTTCGGAGTACTTTAAACACGACGACGAACACCTTGTCGACATGATTTTAGCATACGTTAATGCTGTGAGTATATTATATATATATTTTTTTTTCATAGCATACAATGCTTATAATTTATAATATTATATAAAAATTTATCGACAGACGATATTTATTTCAATATTTATTGAGACAAAATAAATCCGATACTCATTTGTCAACATATTAATTTACTGGTGATTTATTGATAGATATGAATAAAATTAATAATCTTTTATCGCATATTAATATAGTTATTCATAAAAAAATTAAATCTATGTCGAAAATATATCGATTATAATGAGGACTTGTAAGAAGAGATTTATCGGTTACGAATTTTTGTTACATCTTAGTTCATACAACCCTAGAAATAATTGCTACCCTTTTTTGGGGTTACATCATTAGAGATTTAATTCTATTTCAGTTTCGTGTAATTAATATTATTTTTAGGGTTTTGGTTATCAAAAACAATGTGACAATTGTGACACATAATTTCTGTAGAGATTTCGCTGAAAACCATACATTGATAGTATAAAATATATTTTAAMTATAAATACAATAGGATATAGATCAAAGATTTTAATATTATTTAAATAAAATACTTTAGATACGAATTGTTATCTGACATGTCACTTAGCACTCTATAAGAACATAATATTTAGATTCAATATTTATTTTATAACCTAGTTGATTTTGATATTATATAATAAGGCTATTATAATATTATATATTACAAGTACAAATTAATACAAAATAAATATGTTGAAGATGAAGTAAATCAGTTTTTGGTGTATATAGTATATACAATACAGTTTCTAAGTCCAAAGTCATTGTAAAATTACAAAAATCGAAGACTGAAAAAATTCACCATTAATGAATAAAATTCGAAAGAGTAGGGCTTGTTGTTCAATCGTTCTGCATAATATTAAAACGTTAACTGTAATCAAGTTTTGCAGCGGGTATTGCTGGACCAGTAATGTCAAGTACTCAAGCCCATATATCCATAAGGTATAGCGATTTCTATACAATTTATTATGATTTATTAGTGGGTGGATGTCTAACACTGAGTAAATAAAATTTAAAATCAACTTAAATTAAGGTATATTTTGATCATTTCATAATATCTATATTATAATTGACACGTATAGCAGTACCTACACATTATAAATAAGCGTAGAAGTATATTCAAAGAAAAATATTTAGTAACCTTTAGTGAGTGGGTAAAATCATTATGTGTAAATATTGTGTAGTTGCTATACCTGAAAAATATGTCTTAAATACACTGAGGTGACTTAATTCGAAAATAAAATTTAAACATAGACGAATCTCAAAAAAAATTACTCACGCTCGTTGCGAAATATTATAATATAAATTTTCTGACTAGCTTTTTAGGCTGGTAAAATTTAAACACAGTATTCGTACGCGTTACGAATTACGTTGTTTTTGAGACGCTACCGTATGCATCGTGATAGAATATTTTAAAGGTAATTATTAATTAATATTCGTGGCACACTTTGTGTTGTAAATCTTAGGTCACCCCAAGTCGGGAACAAAATCACTCACATAGGGCTACCAAGCTATGAATAAAATACATAAAAATAATTTTTTTTAAATATTTAACCCCAATAACCAAGATTTTATATAAWATGAATGTATTAAAAAGGAACCCAAACATATTAAAATTTGTCAAATAACTAATATTTAATCAACATTTAATTTAATATCGACTTATTAAATCAAACAAAAACACATTAAATACTATATTAATAAATAAAATATATATTCTTTGTTAAAAGTGTTTTTTTTTTTTTTTTAATCACAAAAATTACCTTATAAAAACTTTCTAAAGGTAAACGAGAGCTTTTTTGGAACTTTTCTTTTATATTACTATGCCAGATTTAATTGTTAATTTTAATAAAAATTATAAAAATATTGTCGTGCTTAACATTATAATATATATATAATTTTATGAACTTGACCGTTTTGATGAGTATTAGGAATAAATTATGATATTATTATTTATTTTGCATTTTCTGACATGGGTATTTAAATTTTTTTTAAAGAATTTTTTTTTTCATTAAGGCTATTTTATAGTAACTATATTAAAATATTAGGTATTTTTATTAAATAATGTTAACTTCAATGAAAAAGTTATCAATATAATAACGTTTATCAACTGTTTGTACCTATTTAATATTAACAAATCGCTTTGTTAGTTTAAGCTTTATTAATCACGTTTTTTACAGGATATTTTAACACAAAACAAACAAATATAAGTGAAGCGATACAATTATACTCTGATACTTATATTATTTCTATAGGAAATTAAATAAACAATTATTATTTTGTTTTACTTGAACGACAAAAGAGAATTTTTAAATTAACATAATACTTTTGTTTTACTTTTTTGTTTGAATATATTCATAATACACTCATAGAAAGTTATAACTTTTTAAAAAAAGCCCCAAATGAGATGGGAGGATTGTGTCATGAAGCAGATTTCTTCCCGAATGAAGAATAGCATAGGTATTATATTAGCGTAAAATTGAGACGAATTGAGGCGTTTATGTTTGGATGTGTGGTCTAAAAGGCCGTAAAAAAAAATTATGCTCTCACTTTTTGTAAATTTATAAATTTATATTTTACTGATAATCACAGAGTTCACGTCAATGAGATTATAATACATAAATTCGAAAAATAACAATTTGATATCGAAATATCGTGACTACGGTGTTCTTAATATTGTATATTTGTGTGCCTACTTTTTTAATTCGTTTTGTTTATGAATTAACTTAATTTTTGGCTTCAGGTTCAAGTGCTATACCACCATCCAAGCTTGGGACAAAAAATCGAAATCGTTTTGGTGAAACTGGAAATGTTCAAAAAACAACCAGACGACTTACCACATTATGGCGGTGAGAGAAGTTCGTTGTTGGATTCGTTTTGCGCGTTCAATAAGAAATATCGAAAACAAGAACAATGGGATATTGGACTATATATTTCAGGGTAGATAAGTTATATCATTATACAAACATTTTATCAAAAAAAAATTACAATACCTGTTATGATATACTATGTATATATATACAATACCTACAGCCATAATAATATGTTAAAGTAAGACTAATCTTATAAATAGTTTATAATCTGTTTTTGTCTATACAAATACTGTATCCTAAAAAATTGTTAACCTTATAAACTCCTTGTATGCCAATGGCCACAGACGCCGAGGTTTTTTTATTCCAATAAAATAATAATAATAATATGTTAGAAATTAATCAAGTTCAAGTTGAATTGGAAACTACATGAGTGGTGAAGTAGTAGATAAAATTAATTTATTCAAATACTAATAAATTATGATACTGTACGGGAATACAAAGATAAACCGATTACATATGATAAAAATGTATGTAGGTCTGAGATGTGTTATAACCAGTGTTAGGAACAGATAACAAAAAAATCATCTGGATAAAGATAAAGATAACAACACTAAATTTTATCTAAGATACAGATAAAAGATAAACAAATTTAATTCATCTAACAAAAAGATAAAAATATTTTATCCAGATAAATAACAGATAATTATAGAAATTAAAATTAAAACAACTAATTTAAAAATATATATATAATGCCATGTAAGTACATGCCTATATAATATGTTTATTTTCGACTTAACTTATTATATCATGATGTGTATCACCAAACATTAACTTCAACACATATAATTATATAAGGAATCAATAAGATCCAAGGGACTCTAGGGAGTAACAAAGTATAAATAAAAATTTGGGAAGTCACCCTGCAGCTGAAGAAGTTGTCGAGTGGACCAAAAACAAAATTCACATAGTTAATAATATTTTTGGTACAGATCTATCTAATTTTCACTAAAAAATTTATCTTTTAAATTTATCTAGATAAGTCAAATATTTATCTAAAATAAATACTTAGATAACTTATATTTATTTATCTAGATAAGTAAAAAATAAAATAATTATTATCTGGATAATTTATCTAGATAAATTTATCTAGATAAGTCCTAACACTGGTTATAACTTTATAAGTTATAATGTGTGCCCAACATGCTTCTTTAACAATTTTCGTTTAAGCTGTGAACAAATTATTAAATAATTTTACACAAATGATATGAATACCTAATAATACCTTGCTAGGGTATTTCTGTTTTTATTTGAACATACTCGTATGTATACTGCAACACTAAAATAGTAAATTAAGTCATTCACGTAAAAACGATTCCTTTGGAATTGTTTTAACAACTGAGGCTATTACGTTATAGTCACAGCTATAAAATAAGGTAATAAATTATAGGTTTTGTTTTTCAGTTTAGACTTTTATTCGATGGAAAACGGACACTGGAGTGGCTCCACCATGGGTGAGTGTAAGAACAATATAATTAAGTACATATAACCTGGTAGCATCATGCAACTCTAATTAATACGTATGACGCTGATATCAAGTTCACTTCAAACACATTTGGGTTCTCGGTAATCAGTTCACATATTGTACCTATCAACTTTGTAAATAATACTTTGTCGTATTTTATTAGCCTGGTATTGGGCTACACATTTAGAATAAATCTTTAAAACGTATCCGGATATTGGACCACAAATATATAAAATGTATTAATTGTAATTTACAGCTGTAGGTACCTATTTAACAACTTAAAATCAAAAAAAAAAAAAAAATACAATTCAATATAAATCTAATGCACAACATTGATCAAATAACTAATAATAATTTTTTTTCAATTTCCTAACAATAAAATTATTTTTTTAAACAATGCTATGCAGATTTTATAAATTCAAATCAGGTTTTTTCCCTTTGTATTTTTGTATTTCATTAAGACAATATTTCCAATGAAATTTTATCTCCAAGTTTTTGAAATTTTAACGCTTCTAATTTTACTATTAATTTCAGCTTATACCAAATTCAATTGTAAATATCGTTTGAAATAGAGGTCTAATCACTCTCTTATAAATGTAAAATTTTCGTGTCTCAATAATTTCCAGGCAATTTCCAGGCGCCCATACATTAAATTTCCCGATTTCAATTTTGAGCACCTTACAACACTTTCCATAGAAAACTGTGCTATGTATATGATTTTCAAAACATACAATAAATCTGTATTTGATGTGATCATACCTGGTTATCTACTACTATATGTGTGAAATTAATTTTAAGTGTTTTTATGTATTATATTTTTGAAATCTAAAATGTTAAAACCTTCCTGAATTCTCTATACACCTATGTTTTAAAAATAATTTCGGTCAACACTCCTATTCATCCCGGGTCTGAAACATAAAGGTTGGGTCACGCAATAATTGTGCTATACTCCACGTTTCGTCACTGCAGCCATAATCTGCTACCTAATCCCTCTTTCAAATCGTGGTTCAATCATCCCTATGTACCTTACCCAACAGTGGTGATGTCTTCCATGATCTATTAATCTATTGTCCGGATCTTCTCTTCATTAGACTAAATTAAAAAAAAAGGATTTTCTCAGTCAGCTACCTCTACTTCTATATTTATGGACTTTTCTCGTCAATTTCTTTAATCTCCATAATATAGGTTTTAAAATGTAAAACATTTATATAAGCTGTACATATTTTTATATGAACCTATATATAAGCCTGCAGCGGTTAAAATATAATAATGTATGTGTTAACACATTTTATGCAAAAAAATCAATACCAATTATCGGGTTATACGATCTTTGAATACAATGGACTGTGGACACTTGTTTGAGGCAAAATATGATAAAGGCTACGGGATAGTATTTATTATCTCTACCGAAGCCCACACACACTGAAAATAAACCTAATGAATTACATAATATTTCGTTTATTTCATTTAAATGCCAATATTATAAGTACATCAAATCACATGTTTGAACAACGACGGTTATTTTTATGGTAATAATTAGCATATTCGAAAGGAGAAATCGATATACTTGATGTTGTTATGAGGAAAAAACCATATTAGTCTATAATTATATTTCAATCGTTCAGACGATGATGTTATTTAACTGATATTTCGCAGGTCTGGCGACCGTGGGTGGTGTCTGTTCGGAGAAGTATTCATGTATTATCGCTGAGTTCGGTTCTACAGATGCGCTTGGAAAACCGTACCCGTCAGCGGGCTTTACTTCCGTATACATACTGGCGCACGAAATAGGCCACAGGTAACTTTGACTATCTATATTTTTATTTCAATTAAAATAATTTTTATGAGAACACGCTCTCATTATTATTATTATTATTTTAACGGATTATGATCGTAACGAGACAAAAATGCAATGTTTCATGTGTCTTTCGAAAACCTTTTGTAGTAGTAGTAACGAAGTGGATTAAATGAAAATTTAATAATTTTGTACCGCTTACGTCGTTGTCATCGTAATAACTCTCATCGTGTTTTCGTCACTCCGATCCGACGACGACGACAAGGAAAGAGGAAAAAACGAGCTCCTCCCGGCGTATTCATATATTACTCATCGTCAAAGACCGAGATGTCTGTGAATAATTAATTACTGTTAAAAACATATTATACACTATCGTATTAAAGGATCGCCTTTAATGTTTTTGAGGTTCACTCTAAAGGCGGTGACAAACACACGTCGTCGGTGATTTACTATATATACACGACTTTTTATCACGTCGAGTGTTATAGACGCAGTGAAGAAGTATCAGACTATCGTACTTAATATATAGATCTTCTGCATATTATAATGATTTCGATATTTTTTATACAATAGATTAATAGCTATTATTATGATACGTATAATGGAAGTAGATAAAGTTCAAGAAATCGATGTGATGCCGTACTTCTGCAACGAAATTTTTTTTTATCAACCAACGTAGTAACCAACGTTTGTATAATAATTCGATGTTCGAAACGGAGACCTTAATTATTGTTGAAACCCACCTCGATTCTGCGCAGTAGTTATTCGAAACCCGTCAACGCTCAGAGTTGTTTGAAATCAAGGTATAGGTATGCTTTATAACAATATTAAATAGGACAGTCATTAAAATATAATATACAGACAGATATTTGGCCGGCCAGAACAGATAACAATTATAACTCTGTTGTACTTTTTACAAGCAATAAGTCTGCAAAAAAAGCAACAACAAAATCTCAAAATCTATTATTAGTTCGCTAAAATGCGATTTTATTCATCAATTTATCATTTATACGCTGAAATTCATTATTGTAAATATCTACAGACATATTTTTTGCCGGACATTTTACGTCAACTGCGCGTTGTTGATATCAACGTGAAATGACAAAGTATTACAATACAGTAATGATAATAATATAGCGCGTTGTCGGTGCAGTGTTTCCATAATATAATATCATATTATATTGTTTATCGATTTACTAGTCATGAGAAATTAATCATCTGACGATATTTCGTCCGTCCTCCAAAGCACAAAATTAATAAACATTCCACGACGACGTTTCTACTGGAAATTTGTTTTATTTGTTTTATTTTAGATTACGCGTGTTATATATAACATTATTCTGATATTATATTATTATTATGCCAGCATCCCCGGATTCGGTTTACAGCCAATATTGGTGTAGAGGTCTCATCCCAATATACAATAAATTTAAGCGCGGCTGTTTCTGTTTAAAATTGTCCAATACGGTTGTCGCGTAACATTCGGATTGAGAACTGCGCGGAATGAATCAAAAATAAACAACTCTCTCGTTAGAATTGTATGATAATAATAATATCATTAATATACATTTTTTAAGACGTCTGTCGATAAAATTTCCTATTTTTTTAACTTATATTTACAATATTTGGAACGCCGATCAGGAGCAGGTTAGCTGGCTAAATAATAATTCACATACCTACTATGATGTTGCATACTGTACATAGTGTACATATTATATTGATTTTATAATATGTTAATCTAATATTTGAAACATTCAATGGATGTAGAAAAGGATCATTGAGAAGCGTATAATATTATAAAGGGTTGTAAATTAATTAATAAAGTAGGATGTGGTATTTTTTATTCGTTTATTTAATTTTTTTCGATCCAACAAGTATGAATACCTACGCTATTAATGAATAACAATAAAATTTAGTCTCGTACTATGTGTTCAAATCGTTTCAATTTTCGTTTATTTTATTTCTCGTTTTTATTCATACATATTCCTACCTACATTGTACATTAATTAAATTATATTACCAAATTAAAACATTTTTTGCGTTTTTATTTTATTATGTTATTTGTAATAAAAGCATAAAAGTTAATTTACGTGTTTTTGTAAACAGTTTTAAAATAAAACTTTAGTATTAACAGTTATATATCAATATTTTACCTATAAAAGTATMCATCTAAGGTTTATTGAATTTATACAATCTCACAATTTTGTCTCGTACCTATTATTTCTTTTTTTAGATTTGTCTTTTACATTTTGGTAGTGAAAACTGCAACACTGATATTTATCTATCCGTTTTGATTAACTCGTTGTTTGTACAATTTTGATTGTAAGATATAGTGGAGCAGTTCTTTAACTGTTATTATTTTAACAGAGAAATCTCTCTTAACGGACACTTCTAAATATTGCTCAATAATGAACAAATTTTAGGATCGTGGTGAAAACTGATTCAAATCAATTAACATATTATCTTATGACAGAATGATATAATAATCCACGTTTATACTAGATAGAATATAATATGTAATAATAATATATAAAAACATAATAATTTGTAGGTATTTAATTAAGTTTTATATAATACTTATAATTTTATTCATAAAATATTGTTCATGTGAATAAATCAAAAATTTAAAAAAATAAGAGCCTTGAGTTTACCAAGAGTTAAAATTCCAAGGTACGTTACACTAGCACCACAACCTAAACCAAATTCTTTAAAATTGGTTCCATGCGTTAGTGACCGATTAGTAACCATTCGTAA